ACGAACCTTCTGCTGTTTTGTGTGTACGCATGCGCTATAACACCTCTCACTGAAATAACGTGACCTCTAGTTTGTATTTATTTACAATGAATACTCGTAATTGAAATATGTAGTGTTTCTCCCGACTGTTACCGTCACCAGGATCAGTCAGGAATATTTCTTCGTGACGAAATAATTAAAAATTAAAGGCTTGAATGCAGAGTGAAGGAAGGCAAGTTCTCACCTGTCGCCCCGTTCCCCTTGTCGTATAATAACCGTGTCTTCGGGAACCTTTCTGAATTCACAGTTTTTTATGATATCTATTGCGACATCTGTAATACAAAGATATCATAGTCAGATTTAGTTGAATTATAAAAGTAACTTGAATCAAACACACTCGATCATAAGGCTGGTATCTAGTATGGATTGCGATGAAATTGAACATACTTTATAGATCCCAGTGAAGAGGTACAAATACTAGTACACATGAATATGTCGTGGTAATGATACGACCGTAACTTATTATATATTGTCGTATCGTAGTCTATCATACACTCATTGTCCGTGTGGTCATATGTGGTGTCCAACACATTACACGTATACACAAACTCAACGTGCCCAGCAATTCAATTTATTTATTTAATTTCACGTATTTTCTCGTTGGGCTAATAGTAGTGGTGATAAGCCGTTACACCGAGTGGAATATGAAAATACGATCATCGCAAAATGCTAAAAAAAAGTCATTGCAATAATAACATTCTTGGTCAATTATAACATGAGCAATGAGGTATAATTGCACGATATTGAACTTGGGATTTATTAAGATCGACAGAAGGTATTATAACGGAGCAGGTAGTGAAATCAACTGGTGGTCACAATGTCAGGGCATTAAGTTAAAAGCTACTAGCCTTAAATCCAATAATCATACACACGCTTAACGATCGCTGCGAAGTATTGTCGATTGCACACCTGGTATTCCAAAGGAGTATTCAATCTGTATATTGATGGGTTATAAATGTCGTGATATGAGCAACATAGGCATGCATATAACGACCAATCAAATATGTAGTGGCAATGTCAGATACTTCGTGAAGTCACGTGACTGATTTAAATGTACTTTGATTGTTCTCTGCTTGAAAAGGCTCTGAAAAAAACGACTCTTGCAACACATCCTGATTCAGGTAAAAATTCAGTGTTTGTATTTGAGTAGATTTCAGACAAAAGGACGATAAAAATATTAGAGGATCTCATAAAAATAATGCGTGCCACGGCCTTGTATTGACGATCATCAAGTACAGCACACCCAAGGATTTTTTACAATAGAATTGAATGTCACCTATTTTGTTTATAAATTTTGCTGTGCATTTACAAGAAATTTAAAACTTGAATAAAGACTGGAAATGTTATTCTTCATGCAAAAACTACCGCACCTTTACTTATCCCGGATTTTTAGTTTACCTCAGGCTGGTTCGTTTTTAAGTTAATAGAAATAAATAAACCAGAAACAAAATATACAAGATTTTAGGAGGAAAGGTCTCATGAAGGAATGATCTCCTCTGTATTCGTCCTGCCTACCCAACGCCCAAAGAAAGGCTGCTTTGACATTTATTATTATGTACAAGGTACCTTCAGTAGAAATGTGTCTGATTTCAAGTTGTTCATTTCATGATGACATCTACAGTTTTCTACAGGTTTTGGCGAATTTCTATGTAATTGTTGGTAACACTGCTATTATCACTATAATTAAATTATGGTTGCCCGTTCATTAACTTTGCAATGAATTGAAATTTGTATATTATACAGCTATGTTACATTGCGTTAGTTAAAAGGTGGCGGTCGTCGCGCTGCGCATGTGCGACATTTGTGTTGTTAAACATTGATTTCCCCCATAGTCCAATGCGTTCTTCTAATGAAATCACGAGTACAATATTTGATGGTTTGAATATGCACTCTGAGATAATTTATATAGCTTTATTGGGGTATTAGAATTATTAGGAGGAACATTCGATTGTGTGGAAGAGCACGACTGGAATTGCGGGAAATATTTGCATCAGCATCCGAAAAAAGAATACAATTCAGACCATCAAATATTTCACATCATAATATACCAATAAAATTACGATCTTAGAGTCATGATTAAAGAGGCAATGTTGGGATAATAGGTGATTTTCCGTTCAACTGCGAGATCTCGCGAGATGCATGAAAGATGCGCGTCGAACGTCTGCCGCAAAAATCGAACGATTCGAATTTCTTTATCATTTCGTAGCTTACATTGTCCGGCCGATCTTCCACAGAGAAATATTGCTTTCGAATACCCTCACTTAATCAAAATTGTCTATCATCAAATGTGTCCAGCACATTATTAAGCATGGAAATGCCCCCTAAAATATTTTCGCGTTTGTCGAATCCCACGCGATGTTTGACGCCACTACGACGCTATGATCTTTGTTTGTCCTGTTTTTTACGTGCGATTTCACGCATAACGCGTGATTCTCGAAGTGAACGGAAAATGGTCTATTGTGCAGTTTTGATTCTGATGTACATGTTATGAACACTCGTTTGTAAAATATGCCTAGAATAAATTAATGTTATACATCGCGCACTTCCCGACTACAACGATAGACCAATACTGTAAAATGACTCATTTTTGCTGATTTACCATTTCAGGCATATTGGGTGGGGTTTAAATTCACGGTTTTATCATTTAGTTAATGTGTTATATGCTAAATTTTACATATTCACATAGTTTTAAATTAGCGCATTTTGACAGTGTCAAGTCATGCTAGACCCGAATATCACTATGCTATAACTGCATGTATATGTGAAACTGTAATTGTTAAATACATTAAATTATAATGTGCTTGTTTTCTAAGTGTTTTATAAACATAAATAAATAATTGATTGCTTATCGTTTCTTTGAATTTATTTCATCGTTTTATTGTATAATTTTACTGTATACTTATCTCTTTCTCTCTCATTTTCGTTTTTATTGAGATCATTATTGCAGCACGTTGAATTGAAATTGCGACATGCTGTGTGTTTTGTTACAAAATACGTTCCGGGGGTCACAATCCAATCAGCGTATAGTAATATATTTAGACAGTTCAATTATGCTACCATATTGTCCAGGTACAATTGCAATAACAAAATAATTAAGCAACATGCACAGATTTATCTCCGTCTGGCTGGTGAATAACACTGTATACAAATCTATATATTCATATAATAGACTGAACGTTTCTCGTCGTGTTTGGTGACGTCACAGAAACAACGCGCTTGTGTAGTTGAATAATACGTTGACAATTTGTAATAACCGGTTTTATAGGCAATAAACAGACTTCCGTTTTGAATGTGTTGTATCGTCCAGTGATATGAGAACTAATAACCGTGGTTAATATGCCCAAAAGAAACGAACGTCTGTAGTCTATTAGTATCCCAAACTTAGTAAATTGGCATAATTGCTCTCATTATTTGAAGCTCTGTTTCTATGGTAATAGTCGATAAGGAAAAGCAATTTTAGCAGATACAATGTCGGCTACGCTAAACAGGGGACAGGCTAGGTGTTGGGGAAAACGTTCCAGTAGTAAGGTTGTCAGAGAGGTAGTTCGGTTAAAATTGTCTTTTAATCTAGACGGCCTATTTGCAAAATAATATTCCGTATATTTGTATTTCATGAATTTATTATTATTTCAGGTGGCATAAATCAACATTCTAATATTCTTGTATATCGTATATCTCAGTTATAACTTACAAGTACACATCAAGGTAATTGCCAATTAAGGAAATAGGCCTGGGCAAACAGCTTTAAATCTCGGAGCAAAATACCAGTTTACCAGTAAACACTGCGGAGCGTTTATTGTCGATAAAGTATCAGTTCAACAGGCAATACTGTAGTGTTATTGCCGGCAAAGTACTGTTCCAATAATGAGCGTTGTATTTTTTATTGAAGGCAAAGTACTGATTTATCGATTAATTCAACATTCATTGTAAATAAACGCAGTTCATGGTGTATTTAATGGAACATCGATATTATAAATATATCTGTATTCTTTGAAGTGCATTGTCCCAATAACACTGTGAGACTTAGTGTTCCGAGCTTAGCGCGCTTTCTAAATATCACACATTTAAATTACACTTTTTCACGCGCAAAGAACGATATAAAGAAAAAAATCCTAATGCCGCTGTCAGATAATTTCGCTTCAGGGTAAACAACCACGAGAAGACTGTAAAAGTTGTAAACAGGACACGTTCTCTAGAACCTTGGGAGGATTTTGTGATGGGAGTATACGAATCGCCTCTATTTAATTGCATTGTATACCAGACCAATTCTATGTACCAAGCCTTCAATTGTACCATACAATAAATAGTGAGACAAGAACCAGCTTCAACAGATAACACGTCTCTGTCGCCATAGCTGGGGTTTCAGAACACGCAACTATTTTAATGCTATCTTCTGAGCTCAGCGGTGGATTGTCTAATACTACAAACGATCACAAAAGCATGTCAGATTTCACGGTTAGAGTTCGGCGTCCATATCAATATTTTAGTTCGAAGCTTGTAACAAACAGAAAAACTGGACAAAACAAGGAACCCTCGTCAAATTTACGCAAGATTCTTGCTGTGAAAGGGTCTCAGTGAGCACCCGTTATCCTGTATGCCATCGGTTTATTATTTTTTTCAATGAAATCAAAAGACAAGCACTTTTCTGTTTAAAACTGTAATTTACAGTTAACGTAAACACTACGACCTAGTAAATGTCGAGGATCATTATAAAGTTTATATCTATATATTAAAGACATGTTTACAACACGTAAATCTGCGTAATTATGTTACTATGACAACATGCGGAAATCTACGCGGATTAGTATATAGTGTAATGTGTGTTTAGCTAGTATGCCATTTAGCCTATTTAGCTAATTGTAATTTCACATTGTAATTCAAAATGTAGCTAATTCAAAAGTTTATTAACAAAATGAGATTGTTGCTACTCTAGATAAATTAGGATTTTGTTAATTTGTGCATTGAGTCAAATTCGCTAAAAGGCATGTAGCTATTTTAATATCTCTTCATTAGAGTAACGAAATTAAAAAAACCGAAAACAAACAAAGTTAGAATGCTAATAAAAGCTCATGTTGTACATGACATGTTATCATGCACAGGAATATCACTAGACTTTAGAATTACATGAAGTTTGGAGATAAAAACAACACTTATTTACTTTCAGGCTGGTTTAAAAACTAAAACAACTGATTATTGTACACCATAGTTAGACAAGATGGCCCGACGCATTAGGTACTTATTTATGAAGAGCTGAGGGGACGGTCATTCCAAG